GTGGTTGAAAAAATAGTTCAAGTTTTAACTAGAACTGTTACTATTGTGTGTGTGGTTTGAAAAAATATGGAGGAATTAGAAATCATGCTATGCTGGGAACAGAGACAGGGCAATTGTTAATATGGTTAAATCTGATAAAAATCCCTGGTTTGCCTCTATTTTAAAAGCAAAGCTTGGTTATAGACTCCAGGAGATTAGATGACAGTTCTTAGGTGTGACCTTGTAATGGTCAAAGCGTGAACTGAGTTTAACCATCTGGTACATAGAGTGTTTAGGTGGAATGTGATGACTCCCTGTAGAATTGGACCATTTTGTGCCTTCTGTAGAACAGACAGTGGTCTGAGTAGATACTAATGCTACTTCGTGCCTTTTGCCCCTTTTGAAGGATACAGCCTGAATTGGAAGGGAAAATTCTAATCTGAATATTTAGTGTTCTTCATTTTTCTTTTGTCTGAGGATAAGACTGTAGTGTCTGAGGATCAGACTATAGTGTCAAAAATAGCTTATTGGTTAACACAGGACATTATTTCATTAAAAGCTCTCAAAATTTTTTTCTATGTTTTTAACTTTGAAATGTGATATTTCTTATGTGTTCACATGTAGTCCAAGTTACTAATTGTATGTTTCTTGTGACCTTTTTTTAAATAAACTACTCCATGGTACATTTAAAATTCCTTGTAATGTCTTACGTAGTCATTCACATCAGATCTGCTGCATAGAAGTACTTCCAAGCACACAGACTTCCTGTTTCCTCATCTCCTGCTATGATATATCACCAGATTCCTCTTCTGAGTCTAAGGATCTTCTTTGCCACATGCTGGAAAACTGGCTGATTCTATAACAAACAATACCACAGATACATAAAAGCTCCCATAAACAATGAGATATAATGTGATATAGTCCACATTTACATGTCTAGTATAAAACTCAAGTTATTCAAAATATAGCCCCTTTCAAATGAAAAATAAATTTAGAGGATACTTATTTTAGTTTTCTTTCTGTCCAAGATAAATCTAGTTGAGGAGAATGTCAGGAACTTTTCACACTGTATCATGAGAACTTAACATTTCTCATTAAACTGTCTTTATAAAGTAATTTTTTAAAAATTGCACTGTAGCAATGATTTTATGGGAACTCATATTTTTTTATTTTTCCTCTATGTATTTATTATACTATTCTCAAATGTCTCTAGATCCCTGCCTTAAATACCAGTTATTCACTTCAAACATGGTTCTTCTATGTACTTGTTCATGTTTAGTTCATATGAAGTCAGTGAGATTGAAATAAACCATAGCCAAGGATAAAAGTAGGGCACTCTGGCAATGCTTGTCTCCAACATGGTGAGTAAAGAAGAGAGGAGTATCTTTCTTCTTAGCCAAGGAGAAGTGCACATGCAAGTGCTGGTGTGTAAAGGACTATCCTAGATTGATGGGAGATTCATAGACATTATAAGATCTAGTCAGTCCCAGATTAAGTGATCCCTACTCAATTCATATACCTAGTGAAATTGTCAAAGACAGGATTTGTTTTGTCCTGCTTAGTGTTTTGTTTTGGGGATGTTTGATTGTTTGTAAAAGGTATATGAACTTGAGCCTCAAGCCACTGTCCTTTCATTAAGGATTGGTTTCATGGTCTTATATTCTTAGAAATACGGAACTTTCCAGTCATAAAATGCCCACATAGTAACCACCATATCGGTTGGAGTTTTACCTCATTTTGAAAATTGGTGTATAAAATGAGAAGGTAACAAATGCTGTCTTTAGAGAAGAATCCATCTGGAGTGGAAGTACCAAATCATTGTTCAAAGCAGTGCCATTAAGAAAAACTAAAGGTCTTAAAAATTGCAAAGGATTTGCAAAAGTTGATTTGTATTCCCAGGACCTGGCCCTCTGTATGGCTCATAGTTGGTGCTCTTAAATAGCATATAGTAACGTTTGGTTATATCCTAAGAGGTGACAATGAGAAAAGATATTTAGAAAGTGAAAGTTAAGTCTCCACTGCAGCTTACAGAATTGTCCACAGTTCTTCATCAATAAGATTTTTGGCATTTAGATAGCATGTGCTACATTAGTTAGTCTCTATTTCCCCATTAAATCTTCCTCTATTAGTTTATTTGTCAGACCCTGCCTGTAACCTAAAATCTCACAGGGCTGCTTGTAATTGGGTTCCTGCCATTTTGGTGACGTTTGAGAAATACCATGTCCATGGTCATAAATGAGGAAAGTGAAGTGTAGAGAGGTCAGTGACTGCTTCTCCCAGAGCTAGGAGTACATTTAGAGTCTTTGATGTGCACACCACCTGGGATCCCAAGTCCTCTTTCTGTGGCCACTTCAAGGAAGCAGGGAAAGCTAGATTTTTCAATATTAGGTATGTTACCATATTATCATCCACACTCTTTGAGAACCTCACAGTTCCACATGCTTGCAAAAGTTCAAGCATATAACTGGAGGTATTGCTAGGCACAATTGTGAAAGCATAAAGTTTGTCTTTTAGATCATTTCCTTCAGCAATTGTGTGTGTGTGTGTGTGTGTGTGTGTGTGTGTGTGTGTGTGTGTGTGTGACTACCATGTGCCTCAAGTGACGGTAGATAGGTTTGAAAGAACACTAATAATGACCCCTGAACAGAGTTGTGTGTTTAGGAATTTCTCACTAGTATTCCCAGTGGATTGAAGGAAGAAAGCTAATTGTCTTCCTGCCTGCTTCTTCCTCCGCACCTCATAGGACAGAGCTTGGAACTGCACAGAGGTAGCTCCTTAGCAAATCTGCCATGGTCTTTTGGTTTACCTGGCAGGGCAATCCAGGTTCCTCCTGAGATGGAATGAGTGTGTCTCCCTTTCTCAGCTGCGTTAGCATCTGCTCGAGGTTGCTAGAAATTACTGCAGTAGAGTCCCTGTCCCTGAGATGCCCAAACTGCAGTGTAGCTACCTGCTTCCAGCTTCCATCATCTATGCAGTAACAAACTGATCCCATGAAACACCATGTCACATTTGGAGAAGAGGACATAGAAGGGATCAGGGCTTCAGAAGCTGAGCAAAGCCTGTCATGGCTAAACTGTGTCATTTGTAGGTCATAGATATTTCCTAACATTAAATGTGTTTTATAAATAAAACCACTAAATTATTTTTCTCTCTTTTCACCTTTAAATAGATAAACATATTCCAGGTTGCAGGAAAGGTCTACATTTAAATTAATTTGGAAATGGACTGTCAGTAAATTGAAGTCAAAACTTCTTTTTAAGAATTTCCACTTTGGTAAAGTATACTTACAGTGGGGGTACATTGAGAAACCCCTTTGAACAATTGACTGGAATTAATAACAAAAAATGGGTCTGTAAACTAGATGCAGTGGGGGGGGGTGGAAGAGATGAAGGTGAGGGAATATAGTTGATGGACTTCATATACATATATGAAATAGAACAGTGAAACCTCTTGCAATTGCTTTAAGTGGGGAAGGGAGGGTGTTGTAGGTGGGGGATTGTGGGAGTGATTTAACCAATGTACAATGTAAGCCTTTTCAAAATTGTCAAAATAAATTCCCTCTGTACAAATATATCCTAATAAAAATGAAAAAAAAAATTTCCATTTTGGCTTTTGACATCAGGAATAGCTAACTTTGTGCCATTATGTTTCTTATTGTGGTGACTAGCCACTGGGGGTAAAATTAAGATGTTCTCAATGTCTTTGGGAAGTTCATATCATGCCAAAATGTCTACAATGTCAGAGTAAAAACAATCTGAAGCAAACCGTCCATCCCTGTGGCATGCAGAAGTCTGAGCTTTCACTTGGGCAGCTCGATGGGACCTTCCATGTTAATACTGCCTGGGGACCCAGTGCCTCTTTCTACCTGGGAGAAAGGCAGTTTATTGTCCACTGATTTCTTTGTAGTTATAAAGGTGAATCTCACTTCTTTATAATGGATTTTCCAACTTCTTAAATTCTGTGTATGTTGAGGTGATTATTAGCTCAATTTTTTCTCAGTTGGATAGAATCATTTTAACATTTCATAATAGCAGTACAGTGTAGAAGAAAAAGACAGACTCTGATTACTCTGAGTTCAAAACCTGGGTCAACCACTTACCTCCATCTAGTGACCTCACCCCATAGCTCCTGGACCATCATGTGATAATATTAATAGTGTTTCATACCTCACAGAGGGATTGTAAAGAGTAATTGAGCCAACGTGTTAATCTGTATAGCACAGTTAGGGTACATAATAAGTCTGTGGTGAATGCTAACTATAATTGCAATTTTAATTTATTATTCTTGCTGCTACAAAATCATATTTTTTTCTGCTCTCTAAAGCCCCAGGTTAGTGTAAATAATAAAGATGTTCTGATATTTCTTCCTGTTCACATTCAGGAGAACTCATATTGAAAAAAATTTTTGACATGCATCTTCCTCAGACCCTTGTGGCTTCCCACTGTCCAGACTATAAATATCTGTCAGAGCCAAGTTGATTATTAGCCAAATGGAGCCTAAAGAAAATACTTGGCATTTGTCTTACTTGTGGTTTAAAGAGTGTCCCATTCTACAGTGGCTTATAAATGGCTAAAAGTTAATGATGAAATAAATTTGAATAAAACCTCCCATTTTTACAGCTTTATGCTCAGCGGTCTGATAGAAATGAAAAAAAAAAGTTTATCAGATGATCAAGACTTTTCAGAAAGGGATTTAATTTATACTGATTTTTTAACAGGATTTGTAATCTGTCCCTGTCTAATTGTTCTTAGAAATTGAAAGGAATTTCAAAGTCAAACAACCGTTTGAAGAGCTTTTATCTTCTTGGAAGTGTACGTTTAAAAAAAACAAACACATCTTTGTTATAAGAGAGGCTTAGCCTTTCTCTTTCAAAGGAAACCATCATTTTTCTAAATAAACTCTACTGGTTTGATGCTATTTTCTGTACTTGAAATTTTTTCTCCCTCCTTCCCAAGTAGGGTATTTGCAGCACAGTGATCACGCTTTCTCTTTGTTCTCCCTATCTGATGTGCCTTTGATAGCGGATGGTTTCTCGCTCATTGGGAGCAAATCCAGATGACCTGAAGGACCCTATTAAGATTAGTATTCCACGCTATGTCCTCTGTGGGCAAGGGAAGGATGAGCACTTCGAGTTTGAGGTCAAGGTAAGTGTCCTTTCTTTACTCTTGTGGAGGACTGGACATTGGAGATTATGCAGTGCTTTCTCTTTTTTGTAAAAGAATGTGAAGCTACATGGGAATGTCTTATTTTATATTTTTAACTTATAAAATATAAATTTTATAAGTTTTATAAATTTTATAAGATATAAAGAAGGGTCATACCCCTCTTTAAACCAATCCATGGAACTCTAGACTGGCACACGGAAGGAAGTGATCCATAGAAGGGCATATTGGCTGGAAGTCAGATAGACAAGGAAGTTCCTATTATCCATAGCCCCACAGGAAGGATAATTCCTTCCACAATACTGAGAACTTTCCTGAATTCAGCCCCAAAGTTCTACACCCTCAAAGATCCCAAAGTCCTATACAAACTAGGACTGTTAGTTATGTGTGTAGGCTCATTTTTTCTTATCTATAAAAATAAGAATGATACTTATACCAAGTACATCAGTACGTGTAAAAATGCTGTATTCAGTGACTATTATATAATAAACAGAAAATGATAGCTACTGCTAATATTGTACTACTGTTTTCATTGCTTTTGTGTCTGTTATTAATTAGGAAGCTTTCCTAATCTGCATCAGGTATTATTTGATTTGTATGACTTTTAAGAAAGAGATATGCCTGTTTCCTTACATCATGCTTTCTGAAATAATGGCCTCATCTTATTTCTAATTTAGTTCTGTTGACTCCTCACACTTCATTAAAGGTTGCTGGCTACCATCCCTTTCTTAGTGAATTAATGATATATCACACTTGTTTGTTTTCAAGGATAGGCAAGTTTTAATGTAACAAATTCCACTAGGGTCACTGATTTATTGATGCACATTGTGGACACAGTGGTGTCCTTGGAAGTGTTTTTCTTCAGATTAACACTAGCCTGGGAATCACCCAGTGTGCTAAGTGACCCTCTATCTTTCAACTTCCCTGAGCCTCAGTTTCCTCATTGGTGAAATGAGGAAAAATAACACTGGTAGTCTCCAAGAAGAAGCCCCTTTGTTCAGAAACAATCTCATGAGAAAGGACTCTGAAAAGCCAATAAGCCTGGACTTCTGAGAGGGAGGGAGGCAGGGAGGCAGGAAGGAGGGTGGGGCCTGAGCCAGCCCTGCCTACCTCCCCATTGCCTATGACAGACCTCATGGGAACCCCTAGGCTCTGACTGCTTCCTTTCTCCAGGTATGCACATTTTTTCAGTCTTCCTGAAGAAACAATAAAAATAACATCTTATTGAGCAGGTTATTAGATTTCCATTTCTATATACTGAGTTTTCCTTTAAAGAAAACTGAGCAGTAATGTATATATTTGAGGTTTATGTTAGAGAGGCATGGTGTCTGTGTGGTGTTTTTTGTTTGTTTTAACTTTACCGATGAGATTTTGTTATTTTTCTTTTTAAACTTTTTAATTTGTAATAATTTTAAACTTACACAGAGTTGTAAAAACAGTAGAGCTCATGGATACCCAGCCTCTCCCAATGTTTTTTTTTTTTTCCTTTATTGTTGGGTTCAGTTGGGGTACATTGTGGCATTTACAAAGGTTCTTAAAGTGTATCATATATATCATACTTGAATTTACCTCCTCCACTGGTCTCCTTCATCTCCCCTCCCCTGATTCCTGGAACAGTTTCAACAGGTAACATTTTTGCATTTACATACATGTGTACACATTATTTACACCAGATTCATCCTCCTACCCCCTTTCCCTGCCACCTACCCCCTCCCACTGATGCCAACTCCCCTAGCCCCGGACCTATTCTGCCCTCCTCTTCTCCAATTTTGTAGAAGAAAAAAAGAAAGACATGATGTTTTTCTAGTTTGAGATAAAGATAGCTACACAGGAAGTGATGTTCCCATGCATATATGTATTACAACCCCAATTAGTTCCTATCTTCTAGTTTTCTTCACTCCTCCCTAGTCCCTTTCCTGTGGTGGTCCCAGCCAATTTAAAATTCCTTTATTCATTCCTGTGCAGAGAGCACATCAACTACATTCAAGTTTTTAGTTTCCGTCCCTTGCTCTATCCTTCCTGTGTGTGACCTCCCCTTTGTGTGACCCATGTCCCATAATGCTGCATTTGTTTTGCATCTACAATCCGCATATGAGAGAGAACATGCAGGTTGGCCTTCTGAGCCTGACTAACTTCACTTAAGATGATGTTCTTCAGTTCCATCCATTTACCTGAGCATGACATAATTTCATTTTTCATAGTGACTGAGTAAAATTCCATTGTGTCTAAGCACCATTCATCTGTAGTGTCTCCCAGTGTTAATACTTTATATAGCCATGGTATAGTTATGAAAACTAACACATTAACATTGGTGTAATGCTGACTGCAGACTTTACTTCATTTTATAATTTTTTTCCACCAATGTCTTTTTTCCAGTCTCTAACTCAACCTGGAATCTCTACTGCATTTAGATTCTTTTCTTTAAACATTTTTATTATCATATTAATGTTATATTGGGGGGTACATTCTGACATTCACAAACTATTTACATTTTCCTTTATCTCCCCATTCCCCATTCCTGGATTTTTTAAATTAAAATGATACAGTATTAAAATGTCACTCAATTATTTCTCATTGCCCCAACATAATAAAATCTAGTTCCTGCTCAATTCCTTTTCATTTGTTCTCAACCATTCCATATTTTGTATGTTTATGTCTATAAAATTCCATTTTACCTATATGTAAATGTTATATAGCTATATAAAAATAATTTTCAGGGTGTTTGAATTATTTTCATATTTTTGGATTAGAGGATAAGGACTAGCTTTCATCAGCTTGAAATTGTAATTCTCCAAAGCATAGAACTCACAACAGTGAAAACATGCAGATGAATTTAGTTGGTACAAGGAATTGCTTTGCTTTAACTGGTAAATGCACTAATAAAATATAATTATTAAGTTGATTTAATATATAAAACTTGAATAAAGAAGACACAACTTTTTAAAAACTGAGTTAATTTAAACAAAATTATGAACAAACACTAGCCAAGTTAGTGTGCATATGTGACCAAAATTGTGAAAATGCTGCTGTCAAAGCAAACTAGAGAAACTAAATACAAGAAATTATATGGGGCCTTTCAGAATACAAGGAAAAAAAATCCAAATTCAAAGAGTTCCTGTTTTCTTTAAACTTACCAGAGCCAGAGCTGAAAGCCTGGCATTGTTCTGCCTCCTTTTGTACTTACCTTGTGTGCTGTAACTATTAGCACCAGGAATGAGCTGGTTCTCCCATTGGGAAAAGTCTCTTAATGCCTTCACAGGCATGTGAGCCAGAGCCTCTGCTCCCAAAGGACACCCTGTCACATAGGTGTTAGAACATTGTACTAGAAATGCACATCATATGACTGTACTGTCCTTCTCCAAGGAAAGCAAAGACAGATGAGGCCCAGGCAAAGATGCAACTGTTAGAATAGTTCTTGGTGTACCAGTGTCCAGGTACTCTCAAGTCACGTAATCTTGCTTTGCCTTGTCCGTGAAATTGGCATAATAAACCCATCCATCTGGGTGGTGTGAGGAGTATGTGATATTATGTGTGCAGAGTGCTTGAAACAGTGCCTGCCATAATGTAAATGCTGGGGAAATTATTTTTTTAAATAGAAATAAAAAGGTTTCTTCCCCTCACTGACTTTTGATGTGCACTTATATCTTTATGAAGTTTTGTGTTTTTTTCTTTTTGTTTCTTTGTCCCCCCTACCTCAGCATTCTGAACTTAAAAATTAAAGAATGTGTAAAAGAAAGCCCCCATAGAAATCTATCCATTGTTATTATTGAAATAGGACTGCAGCTATTTTGACCTGTTGCCAACATCTTTGTAGACCTTCTCCAATGGAGACCAAAATATTTCTGTATCCATTCAGTTTTGTATCCCTGTGTGAGAACTATATAAATATGAAAATACTATACATAGACTGTAAGTTTTTCTTAAAACTTTCATTGAAAGTCTTATGTTACAGTCATATTACTGTTAAAACATGCTTACCAACCTTTCATTCATCATTTGGATATGCCATGCATAGGCCATGTTTTTTAGAATAAATAGTGCCACTTTCAATAATGTTTTGCTACTACTAAATTCTCTTGGTGAGTAGTAGGTTTAGAGAACTAAGATTAAAAAGTATTATTTTGAGAATAGACTCCTTTAGTTTTAGGCTTTTGTAAGAAAAATCCAATGTTAATATACATATTTAATTTTATTGTAGTTTATTCTTTGGAATGATCTTTGCTGCTTCTCTTTTTAACAATCAGTTTTTATTTTCACTACCTACCCATGATCTTGAGGCCTTCTGGGGTTCTCAGTGCCCACAGTGACCAGCAGGGCAGACAGCAGCTTGATTTTGCTAGTGAGTGACCCCCGTTTACTGTGTGGCTTGCTGCTGGTCACCACCAGTTCATTTAGGGGCTCTGCTCACATGTGTGAACACATAAGGGCCCATCCAGTGCGAATCTCCACTCTCTGAGTTGGCATTCTTGAGAGAGCCTGGGGAGATGACAGCTGAAAAGAAAAGACTCTCTGTTGTGTCTCATCTGTAAAATAAAATGGGATAGTAAGTAAAACCCTCCTACCCAGTTGGGGTGGGCAGTATGTGAGGTTTTGTGTACAATGTGCTTGAGTCATGTGAAGAGGTAGCTGCTGGTATTTACTGTCAGCTTCTCTCTTGCCCTTGCTCATCCCTTCTACTTCCCAACCTTTTTTAGGTAGGATTTGCTAGCCTTCTCTAAATCATTGCTTCTTCCTTGGTTGTTTTCATGTTAATTCCCAGTCTGGTAGATCCTGTTGGAATTCATAGCAGAATGAAGTAGTCATGAGTTTGATAGGGTATTATTGGAGGTGGGGAGGGTTCCAGGGAGACAACAGGGCTTCTAAATTCTCCTCTTTGATCTCTCATGTATCCTGTGGTGGTGTCCATCACTCGTCTTTAAAATGAGTATAATTGAGGTTTTTATTAAGCTACAATACATTTAATTTAGAGGGACTTTCATACC